CTTGCTACTAGACCTATAATTTATTGTTATTTTTTGATAATTTTAAATCAATGGAACAATTGATGGGAATTAAGTGAACTTCTTATGTTGGTTGATATTAAATACATTGGTTCGATCTCATTATACATAGCACACTTAAACTTTATAGGTTAATATATAATAATAACAAGAAGAAGAAGAGATATTTTTTTCATTATGTCTTTATATCCTTGACTGGGTCAATTTATTTTTAAATATACATTAAGTTTTTAATTTATTATTTTGTTAAGATTTTCAAGTAAAATCATTAAAATTATTTACGTGATTTGTGTAGAGTTAATTTTTATTTCCAAATGCCCTTGCAAGTTAGCCAAATAGAAAATTTTATATACAATTACGTAACTAATTTTGATAGTTTAACATGTGAATTTTGCCAATATAACATATTTAATTTTTTAATGTGTATTTAACATAAAATTGGTACAATTATGCATATAAGAACAGAATAGAGAATCAACCTATTATATAATGAGGCATTGAACCATTAACCAAAATTAATTTACGATGCTTCATTTTCTTTTTAGAGTTTTATATTTCTTATTTAAAACAATTGTAAATTTAAATACAGTCACGATTCCTTTCAATAGAAAATAAGGCCTTGATATATATTAAAAAATCCTAAATTACTTTTCTTCTCTTCTTATTAATGCACGGTTGAGCTATCACAATTGCATGAAGAATCTTTGATTTATGAGAACAGCTGTCAAAACCCTAAATCCAAAAATTTTCCTTGATTTTGTTATAAACATGTTTACTTAATTTTTAATTTCATGCTCTTGCTGTACACTACTTTCCGACACATAATCATAGTTTATACTCTCCTTCTTACGGTTTTGGTTTTTTTTTTTTTTTTTTTTTTCAGCTACGCGTGATGAGCTTTTTTGCATTGTTAATTAAATGTTAATCCAAATCTAAGCTTAGAATCATGTGTATGAGAGTGAAGTGTAAAGGCTTTGGACATGAGACACTTTTCACATTTACTTTGTAACACTTGTTGTAGATTGAATAATACTGCAGAAAATCGATGTGTAAGCATCATTGCCATACTTTTTGTTCAGATAGATGTAGGGTGAACGGTACAAATCTTTCTTGAATTTTAAATCATTTAATAATCAATTTTTTAACTTTTAATTTCTAATTGGATTTCTCTCTAACTATTTTTCATTTAAAATTAAGTAATTTTGTTAAGTTTTTGCCAATTCTACTTGTAAATGTGTAATATCTTGACATCGAAAAAAAAAATTTTATTTTTTTCTTTTCAAAACTTATTTATTCATGTCAAAATGCTAAGAAATAAGCAATTAAATAACATTTTAAAAGAAAATAATAAGTTTGGAGGAAAAAAATAAAGGATCTAAAAGCTTTAGCATATTTTAATTTAGCTATAGAAGAAGTTAAAAAGTCAATCATGCAAAAGTTATGTGTGCTTTCATTGTTAGAATTAATTAAAACCTAATAGAAAATTTTAAATAAAAATTAGTTGAAGAGAGGTCTAAATCGAAATTAGAAGTTGAAAAATTGATATTCAAATTGACTTAAAATTTAAAGGAAATTTAAACCATTTAGCCTTAAATATATATAGTATGATTTCACTTATAAGTAGAGTTTCAAAAATTAATAATATTGATTTTGTGATGTTAGGTTAAAAAAATGGTTTGAGAAGGTTCTCGTTTAATTTAATATTTGATGGTTTTATTAAAGTTAGTTGCTTGTGGATATATAATTGAACATAATTAATTAATTAATCTATGTGGGATCATTTGATCACGTAATTAGGCATAAGTGTCGTTCAATTATATCACTTTCTTATGTGATTATGATTAAGACAGCATTAATTTTCATGACCTTTTCTAACGATTAAAGAAGATTCTATTTATTTAACGTCAAAATTAGAAAAAAAATGTCATTAATTGTTTGAATTATCATAACGTTATCCTTGTTTTGAAATCACAATTTACAAGTTCAAATTGTCCTCAAAACCTCAAACAATTCAATACATTTTTTTATGTATTGATACATCAAATTACAATAATTTGAAAATTAAATTGAAGGCAAAAAAATAAAATAAAATTATTGAACCTAAGTAGTGGGCATTAAATTGGAGAGAAAAAATTGTAAAGCCTCTCCATAATTGGTATTTACTTTGTAGGGTATAAGGTAGTGTGGCATATATATATATAAATTGCCCCATGCACCTCAAAATAAATGCACACAGTCCTCCTAATATTGAACACATCACTTGTGCACACATAATATAATCTTTGGGACAGATAATATTTTTGTATTTTAAGGTTCCCACCTCCAAAAAGCTATAGTACTTGTGATTATGATTATTTTTATACGTTAAACTAAAGACAAGGTCTAGACTTTACAATGACCTTTTTGTTGTTATTAGCCCATCAACAATCCCCCTCTGTGGGATATTCAAGCGTCAACTTGGTGGGTCATTCAAGTGGAATGCATGGAAGTTTCAGCCATGACTTTTGAGCTTTCATTTTCTACAAATAGAAAAAATATATATTAATTTGTTGGAATATAAATAAAAATTACATCACAATTCATTTCAGTCCAAAATTTTCCACGTGTGCAAGCACGTCAATCTACCAAATCTTCCCCAATCTATATTCTATCTTCTTTGATTGCCTTCAAGAAGGCTCTATAAACTAGTTTCTTTATAAATAGATTGAAAAAAAGAGTGTTTTTAACTTAATTATCATGTCATGAGTTCAATTTTTATTTTATTTATTTATTTTTTTTTATGTAACACTAGACATGAGTTGTTGATGGATTCAAATGATTTAGTCTCTAGAATGGATTTAAAATTAGATTTGATCTAATGTTGATAAAATCTAAAAAATTAGAGATTGAATGAAAAAATGATCCGAAAATATTTCATTGCTAATAATATATATAATTTTTTTTATATATTTCTAGGTGGATGAAGATCAATAGTTGAGATTAGTGGTAAATAAAAGCTTGCAACTTAAGCAACTGATTAAAAACGTTAGTGATGACATGAGGGGGAGATTTATACAATGAACAAGTCCAATCTCAATTTTTTGAATAAAAAAAGAAAACTATACATGACTTGTGTGATGATGACAAAGTAAGCTCATTTGCAAGAAAAATATTTATGTTTGTCTTAGAGTTTTGCTTAGAGTAAACTTATAGGATGCTAATTATTATTGTTTTTTTTTTTTTTTGCTATTTTTTCTAGTAGCCTATTTATGCTTTTCGTTCATATCTATAAGCAAATCATGATGTATTCATGCACACTAAATTTGAATAATATAGTGATTTAGTTAATTAGGTATTGATATTTTTATTATTTTTAATGACATAATATACCTTATATATATATATTTTTTAGTGACATATTTTTATTATTTAGGGAGTCTCAAATTTATAATTATGGTACATTAAACTTTGTAATTTAAAAAGGAATAGTAAGATACTTGACACGTAAAAATTGAGTCAAATTACATCTTTTTTTTTATAATCTTTTTGTCTAATTGATGTTGTCATTTGTCACATCTTCTATGTTTACATTTTATGGATTAAAAAAAAGGATAAAATTTTAAATTCTCTCTATGTTTTGGAAGAAAAAACTTAAGTGATGATCTAAAAACTAAAGACTTGATTTTCCTTTTTCAAATCATATAGTTCAACGTAAGACAAAAGTTAGGTCATAGTACGTTTTGAGACTTTTGTAATAAAAAAAACATGCATGATACGCCGTGACTAAAATAGGTAATTTGCTTTCCAAATTATCTAAAACTTGGAACACAAGATCATCTATTTTCAGTCTTTTGTGAAAAACAAAAACAGATTTTATCCATTCTTCTCCCACGTAAATGGAAATCTTGATTCGAGATTAATTAATGTAATGGTGATTAATCAACTGGTTATTGTGAGACTAATTAAACATTTATTGTTCGTTTTTTGATTGGAGAGAACGAAACCTCCCGCGTTCTAACATAAGCAGTCTACCACGTGGTTAGAAACAAAAGACTAAACTGACTGCCGCTCTCTCTCTCTCTCTCTCTCTTGAAAGACTCTCACTTTCCATGTCTGCTGCCTATATAAAACTTCACAGACCATTTTTTTTTTTTATCATCTCTGCATTTCTTGTTTTAACCTTTGGAAACCTCAAATCTCTCTCTCTCTCAAGAACAAGTGGGAAAATCATTGGAATTCAAATAAGCTGACCCCTTTTTTACCGGACTTTCTTTCTCTGTATTTGGGTTGTTAATCCACAATTCAAGGTAATGCTTGCTTCCTGTATTCATGGGTTTTGGTTATTTTCCTTTTTTTAGTTTCTTTGCTGTTCAGTGCGATAATGGTAAATGTTTGGTCTTTTTTTCATTCTTGATGACTTGGTCGGGAAAGTTGTGTGCTTGGCCATTTTCTTGGTCTTCATTTCATGGTGATTACATGGTAATGCGATTGGTGTTATCTTTTTGAGACTCTTTCTTCTTAAAAATGGTTTTTGTTGATCATTTTTTTTTTTTTTGTTTTAGCTGGTACAGAAACTTTTGTTGTTCTGATTGGTTAAAGTATGTGACTGTGTTTTTGTTTGGAATTTTGGGTTTGATTTAAGAATTTATTTTTGGTTAATGGGTTTTGCAGATCCATGGAATTTTTTTTTCTGCTGTGTTAAATTCATCTTCATAGTTAAATGCTGTCCCGCTTCTATAATTTATAACTTCTGGCTTGTTCTGGTGATATGGTATTGGTATTTCCATCATTTACCTTATTAGACAATGCTAGGAAGAGAGCATGGGTGTTCTGAGATTTCTGCATTTGGTTATAAGAACATGGAAATCCGTTTTGTCCGATTTTAGAAATATTGACAGCTTATGTTATATCGTTAAAAAACACTGTAATTTTAACTTCTCTGTATTGTTTTTGTTTGAACAGGAATCAAGATACATAGGTTGCTGTAAACCCTTTCTTCTTGAATGGGATTGTCCTTTTCCTGCCCATTTTCTACGCAAAGTGATTTGGAGGCTGGCTTAGAATCTGTTATTGTAAAATCTATTTGCTTTGGAGACGATGAAGCCAAAACTCCCTTACGATCGATTAGTTTTGGCAGTCAGGATTCTGAGCCTACTATATCGAAATCTTTAGGTTCTGGGAAGATGGTAGTAGAAAGATCTGTTAGTTTTAAAGCGGGAGAATTGGAAAGAATGATGTCTATTAGAGCTTCTCCACCGGACAAAGAAAAAGATGCCTCCACAAAGTCAGAGAGTATAAGCAGCGAAGAGATTGATAATCAGCCCCTAATGTCAGATGATAGTTTAGCGACGATTCTAAAGTCAGCAGTTTTTGATCCCGAAAACCCCGAACACCAGGCTGCTGTAAAATTGCAGAAGGTGTATAAAAGCTTTCGAACCCGGAGAAAGCTTGCAGATTGTGCAGTTCTTGTTGAGCAGAGCTGGTATGTATCTATTGATGAGTACTAATCCTGGTCCTTCTTTTTAAAAAAAATGTAAGGATGCATAACCTTGTCCTAACAAAATTAGTTCTTATAATCTCAGGTGGAAGCTCTTAGATTTTGCTGAACTCAAGCGGAGTTCTATTTCTTTCTTTGACATTGAGAAACACGAATCTGCCATTTCTCGATGGTCAAGAGCAAGAACAAGGGCTGCAAAGGTCGGAAAAGGTTTATCAAAGAACGACAAAGCACAAAAACTTGCTTTACAACACTGGCTTGAAGCGGTAGGTCAAATACAGAATTTCTATGGAAATGATATTGGTCAAACATTGCAATTCAATCACTCGTACTGATTCTGAATCTTTATTGTATCTTGTTGAAAACAGATTGATCCACGGCATCGATACGGGCATAACCTTCATTTCTATTACCTTAAATGGCTTCATTCTAAAAGCAGAGAACCCTTTTTTTACTGGTAAAATTCTTTGATCCATAGTACTTCGGTATTTAAAATTTTGATTTTGGACATCACGGATTCGAAGTTAAACTTGTATATGCTGGCTTTGCAACTGCAGGTTAGATATAGGAGAAGGCAAGGAAGTGAATCTTGAAAAGTGCCCTCGTTCAAAACTTCAACAACAGTGCATCAAGTATCTCGGTCCGGTGAGCTTTCCATTAACAATTTTGTACTCAGCCCTTTATTTAATAACCCAAATGCTTTTACTGATAAACATTTAACATTACAGATGGAAAGAAAGGCCTATGAAGTTGTTATAGAAGATGGGAAGCTCCTCAAGGAGTCAGGGGAGCTTCTGCACACCACAGAAGATGCTAAGTGGATTTTTGTTCTCAGCAGTTCTAAGATCTTGTATGTTGGCCAGAAGAAGAAAGGCACGTTTCAGCATTCTAGCTTCTTGGCTGGAGGAGTAGCAACTGCTGCCGGTAGATTAGTTGTTGACCATGGAGTTCTTAAGGTATAACATATGGATTCATTGCATTTATGCAGAAGTTCCTGTTTTCTTTAATGGTCTTCTGATATACAACATATCTGTTAACAATGGCTTCTTTCTGTTTTCCACAGGCAGTTTGGCCTCACAGTGGTCATTATCGGCCTACAGAAGAAAACTTTAAGGACTTCCTTTCATTCCTCGTAGAAAACAATGTTGATCTCACCGATGTGAAGGTAAAATTTTTTTTTGCAGTTTTATTCTTTTGTTATGATATAAATCATTATTGTAGTGATAAGAACTACAGATGTGAAGGTCATTTGCTGAGCCTTTTATTTCCCTGATATTGCAGACAAGTCCTACGGATGAGGAAGAAAGCGTTCTTTCCAAACAAAGAAGCAGCAAACATCTTAGAAACAACTCATCAGATGAGGACTTGAGTCAAGCAGTGAATGATTTAGAAACTGAAGAAGTTCAAGACTTGACTCCAGAAAATACTGGTTCTGTTGAAGAGAAGACTAACGTATTAGAACAACAGAAGTCGGGGCGGCTCGTCAACTTTAGCCGAAACTTAACCAATCTTAAAGTGCCAGAAAGAAATGAATTGGTCAAGAAAGTCGAAAGTGAAAATCATATGGTTGGAACACGTGGCAGCGATGCATCTTCTCTGGAGGAAGATGGTTATGAATCGGCAGATGAAGTATCAAGCACAGAACAGCATTCCTCGGAGCCAAAGGATAAGCTGTTTGACGACAAACATGAAGGGAATGACGCAGAAGAGATTCCTGAGGAAGCAATCATGGAAAGGATTAATTCTAAGAAAGGAATTGCGTCATATCAATTGGGGAGGCAGTTGTCTTGCAAATGGACAACGGGAGCTGGACCGCGGATTGGCTGTGTCAGGGATTACCCTCCAGAACTTCAGTTCCGGGCTTTGGAGCAAGTGAACTTGTCTCCAAGAAGCATTCTCCATTCAAGAAGTACTGGTTTATTGAATCGTAAGGCGTCGACACCGACTAATTTTAGCGGGGAATTGAGACCAACTACAGGCATACCAGTGCTAGCAGGAGAGGAATTTTTGCAAAGTAGCCTTCCCATTTCTAAAACATACTCATTGCCTCCTGGCAAAAGGAATCCCTGGCTTCGGTAGAAGTAGTTCCTAGTTGATTTATTCTTTTCTGTGAATAGAAAAGATGATACAGGAATTCTTTCTTATTCCTTTTCATTTCTTCCCCTGTTGAAATCATCTATACAGTTTCTTTTTTCCTTTTCCTCCCCATTCATCTTGTACAAGATGGGATACATATTGTAAAATCTTTTTGGGGTCTCGAAACCCTTTTTATACAATAGAAAATATCTATTCATTCTTTCAAAGGAAAATATCAAACCAATCTCATCAACTCTTACTATTCCTAACTTCATTTGGTTTAAACTCTGAGTCTCCTTTACTGGAATCATTCAAATTCAGCACCATGAGTTGTAAAATCACAGAAATTGCCTTCCTGTACCATGAGTTGTCAACTTATAAAGAAATACCATGTTTTCTGGCTCATAAAGCGAAAAAACAAGTCATTTATTTTGGTCACTGAAGGAAGTGTTTTACTCATACCGACAAAGTGGATCCTCATGCAAATGCTTTAGATCTCTTTCTTTATAGCTTGTTGGGCTGAGGCCCCTTTTCATACCCCATAAAATAAAATGGAATTCTTGAAATGTATTTACAATTCTTCAAAGATTTTATGCCACAAACGAAATGGGGTTGTCCTTTTCTTTTTTACTCTCCAATCATTCCACCAAGAGTTTGCCAAAATTGCCGTCATTTTGGGGCAGTGGGGAAGAGGATATTTCAATTTTGAATTGACAGCAGCCCATAATTACGTGACAAATTGTGCTTTTACTTATTATAAAGGTGAAACAAAACAAAACAAAACAAAAAACTCTAGAAAAAGTAGAAGAAAAAACATTAAAATAAAAACTTGCAGTTAGTGGAAGAAAACGCAAAAAAAAAAAAAAAAAAAAAAAAACCAACAGAATCTTGAACTTCCACAAAAAGCTGCATGTGAATATTTTCTATACAGTTTCCAAAGATTCAAAATTCAGTCACTCTTCAAAAGCTGAAAAGCTAAAAAGAAAGGGGAACCCAAAAGCCCATTTTATTATTACTAACTTTGAAGTTTCTTTCTCCTAGTGCCAGGACTCCTAAAACCCACCTCAAAAAATTTGACACATGCCTCATCCACTATTGGAATACACACTAGTACTGGCTACTTAGTACTCCTAGTCTACTGCTACTGTTGAGAAATTGAGGTTCTTGGTTTTTTTTTGGCTGCTGAAATGTGTGTGGCTGGGCGTAAAGGGCTACTAAATTATGAGAACCCCATCAAGCATTTTCCAGGTAAGACCAGAAAGTTTGGAACTTTTGAAAGGTTTGGCTTTGTTTTAGCTTTATTGGTGTTTTTGGGTTCTGTTTTTTGTTGCTTTTGTGATGAAGTTGTTATGGTATCAGTGCCTCTTGGTTTTGAGATTTCAGGGTTTGATAGAAGTAGAACTTGGGTGTCTCAAAATGGGGTCTTTGCATTTGGATTCTTAGAGAGTTGTTCAAAAGAAGATGAAGTGGATAGCTTTGTTGTGGGAATTAGGTATAATTTAGGAGACAATGAAGCTGTAAATGTCCCTGTATGGAGTGTTGGGGGTGGTCTTAGGGTCTCTATTAACTCCACAATTAAGCTTTCCATGGATGGGAGGCTAATTTTGTTAGATAACCCCAGTGGTGTGATTGTTTGGAGTAGTGATACTTCTAGTTTAGGTATTAGAAAGGGCAGCCTTTTGAATAACGGGAACTTAGTTCTTATGGGTATTGAAGATAATGTGCTTTGGCAAAGTTTTAATAGCCCAACTAGCACTCTCCTTCCTGGTCAGTCTTTGCATTTTCCTCAAACCCTAAGAGCTCCTTCCACAAAATCAATTTCTAGTTACTACAGTTTTTTGATTCGGCGCTCTGGAGAGCTGGCTCTTGTTTGGGAGAATAATGTGACCTATTGGAGTAATCATCTGAACCTTCTTGGTAGTGTTAAGGAAACAAGGTTTGATGGTAATGGTCTTTTGGGGCTTATTGATGCTAATAATAGGACTGTATGGTCCGCATCATGTAAGGATTTTGATGACCCTTCTGTGACATTGAGGCATCTTAAGATGGGTTCTGATGGGAATTTGAGAATTTACTCATGGAATCATATGCTCCATGAATGGAAGGTAGGGTGGCAAGCAGTTGAAAACCAATGTGATGTATTTGGTTCATGTGGTCTTTATAGCTTATGTGGGCTTAATTCCACTGGAGCTGTCTGTGATTGTCTTTACCAGGATTTGGTAAATTGGGGAACTGGCCTTTCCACAGTGGATTCAGGGAGTTCTGGGTGTAAGAAGATGGTGGATTTGGGTAACTGCAAGATGAATACAAGCATGATGGTTCTGAAACAGACACTTTTGTATGGTCTTTATCCTCCTCAGGATGTCGATATGATGCTGAGTGAGAAAGCATGTGAAGAATACTGCTCTAATGACACGACCTGCATTGCAGCAACTTCCAAAAATGATGGTTCGGGTATTTGCACAATCAAACGAACCAGTTTCATTAGTGGGTACGGGAACCCTTCTGTTTCTGCTACTTCGTTCTTAAAAGTGTGTCTGGTCCCTCAGGCAGTTTCCGCACAAGGAGCTAATCCTCATGTTATTGCCAAGCCAATTCCAACAACATCTAGAGGAGGTGACAACAAGAACTTCATCGCAGCTATTTCTTTGATAGTTTTGGTAACAGCCTCAGGTTTTCTGGCCATTGAGATGTTTGTGTTTTGGTTTATGTACCGCAAACGGAAAATTAAAGCTCACATAAGAATTCCCTTTGGCAAGGATGCTCAAATGAATGCTCACTACAGTATTCTTATCAGGTTATCCTTTGAAGAGATAAAAGAGCTTACATCTGACTTTGCAAATAAACTTGGGCCCTCTGTTTATAAGGGTGCACTAACAAACAAAAAGCCTGTTGTTGCCAAGGCTCTGAATGATGTGACTGCAAATGAGAAGGATTTCCGAGTTGCAGTCTCTACATTAGGGAGAATGCACCATCGGAACCTTGTGCTATTAAAGGGTTTCTGTTTCGAGGCAAACAACAGGTTTTTGCTGTACGAGTATGTCCAGAATGGCTCTCTGGATAAATGGCTGCTCAACATGGAACCTGACCACAATGAAGGGACATGGCAGCAGAGACTTGACGTTGCTCTTGGAGTTGCTAGGGCCCTTGCTTATTTGCACTCAGAATGTCAGATATGCATAGCTCATGGGAACTTGAAGCTCGAGAATGTCCTGCTTGATGAAAATTTCATTCCTAAATTGACAGATTTTGGACTTGGAAGCTTGTTCAAGGAGGAGGCAGCTTCCTGCTCAGAGTCCCCTTCAGAGAGAGACATCTACATGTTTGGGGAGATGCTGCTGCAAATTGTCACATGCCAAAGGGATATTCTGGGTGACAATCTGGATCATTTGGTTGACAAGATGAATGAAGAACTGAACTCAGAGAATGACGTAACCTCTGAAGGAGTAGAAAGGGTAGTGAGGATAGCTTTGTGGTGTATGCAAAATCAACCTTTTTTACGACCTTCCATTGGTGAAGTGGTTAAGGTATTAGAAGGCACACTCTCTGTAGATAGGCCTCCGTCGGCATTTGCTTTTAGACAGGACCAGATGGATGGGAGAGTTTTAACTGATGTTGAAGTGGACTCCTCTTAGAAGGAAGCCTGAGTTTGATTAGGAAGAATATGCTTCACATTTGTAGGTTTAGTTGAAGAGTGTGGATGCATCTGAAGGTCCAAAGTTTTTGTAAATTGGACCCTTGTAATGCACTTAGATGTGTAATCAATCCTCAATGCGAGACAAGAGACTAGTTTATTATTATTTTTATTGTCCCTGGTCTTGCTTGTGGTATTAATAGTACTTGCATCTGCCAGCGTTTTTCCAGCTTAGCATGTTTGTTTGTATAACTTTTAGTTTCGATTCAATTCTTACAATCCTGCTCTTTACTATTCATCATTTTTTGTTGGTTCATATGTTTGTCTTGATAAACTGCCTGGGTTGTTTGGCTCTCATGTGCTGCTTTTTTCTTAGCAATACATCCAGCCACACCTATTACCCAAGGTGGGTCTTCGATGTTTTTGGAATAATCCAAGAGCATAAGAAGCACGCCTGGAGACGATAACCGATACATAAGATCTGGTCAAGGCACAGAGTGTCGTTGCCCGGATGCTTGTTTGATTTGACGTGCTCAAAGGTATCAACTTATGCTCAAAGGTGCCATTGGAGAAAGCACCTCTTCTTTTTTTCAATAAAGTCTTCCTTTAAAACCATTGAAAGGGAGGTAAGGTATACAAACCTTTGCAGAGTGGTGGGGTTTGCAAGCCAAAGGCAGCAGGAAGATCCAACTTTATCCTTTTCCCTCGTATCTTTTTCTGGTTTCTTTTTCTATACTTTTCTTGCTGTTGAAGGAATGAAAAACCATTAGCTTAACCGAACAGAGATTCTTTAACTTTACTTTGATTCGATGGCAACACACACCATTAAATACCATCTAGAGTATCTCATACTTCCCACAATCATATCATCTTGATGATCAACATTTGACTGCAGGAGACAGATTAAGCATTTCAGTATGGGAGTCCTTGGTGCTGTCGCAAAGCATTTGGATGCCCTTCTCGGGTACAACTTTTTTTTCCCTCCCCTATTGAATTTCATGATTAGTAGTCATGTCCAACTATCATTTCGAATAAGCTATTGTCTATTCAGTCTTAACCATTTCGAATATCTTCGGTCCAGCTTTTGGGTATCGAGATTAAGTCCTTTGACAGTCGATTTTTCCTGTTGTTCCCCTAAAAATAACACGGTGTCATCCAGGCTAAATCTCTGAGTCTTTATTCATTTATATGTTGATGATTGCTCTGACAACTTAAATCTTTGCTTTTCTTTTCTTCGTTTTTTGTACTTAACCAGGCCAGGAATCATGCTTGTTTTTCCACTGTAAGTAGCGAAAGATATCCCTGTTAATTATTTAATTTTGAAGGGTTTAAAATTACAGTGACCAATGATCATGACATGAACGAACAGGTATGCATCATTGCGAGCCATCGAAAGCCCTTCAACTCTTGATGACCAACAATGGCTAACCTACTGGATAATATACTCTTTCATATCCTTATTCGAGCTATCATCTTGGAGAGTCCTAGTTTGGTAATGCTAAGATTATAAAATACACTTGTGTACATGGACACAACCATATATAACTTGCCCTAGATTATAAATGTGTAATGATATTGCAGGCTTCCCTTCTGGCCATACATGAAGTTGATGTTCTGCATGTGGTTGGTATTGCCCATTTTCAATGGAGCTGCATATATCTATGAGAACTTAGTGAGGAAGTATGTAATGATTGGTGGCTCAGTGAATGGGAATTACCCAGAAGATAGAAAGAAGATTCTCCAGATGATGAGCCTTGATGCAAGGAAAGCAGTGATGCAATTTGTTGATAAAAATGGATGGGCTGCGGTTGATAGAGCTATAAACGCTGTAAGTATTTAAGTCATTAATCAACCAATTCACATGGATAAAACTTTGTGATAATTATATGCATGCTATATAGGCTAAATTGTAAAATACCTCCCTGAACTTGAGCAAAGAAACAAATATCTCCTTGAAGTAAAAAAATCCTTGATTTTGCCCTTTAAACAATATGATTTTTTAAATTTGCCCATTCCGTCAGGGTTCCGTCGAGAAATTGTTGGAAAAAAACGTTCCAATTTCTATCTTTTTTTCTATCAATTTAGAAAAATATGTTTACTAATAGAGAAAAGGGAGGACTTGAATGGATTTTTAAGGGTTTTCCATTAAATTTTCAATAAAATCCTAAGAAAATAGACAAATTCAAAAAATCATATTGTTTATCATGTAAAATAATAGATGGGGTTTTGATTCATTACTTTTTCTTTGAGTTGATTTTCAGGCTGAAAAAGAAGTAAGGAAGACCTAATGAGTGGATCAAAGATGTCATTCCCTTCCTCCACAAATTCATCACAACATTTATCAAATTTTCCTGTCAAATACAAGATATTATGTGTATGATTTGATCTTTCGAATAAATGCGAAAGATTATCGAATAAAACTTCCTTGTGGTATATTTGTATTTACACAGGACTACGTATTACTGATATTGTGTATCTAAATTATAGGAGGACATGATTCCCATCTATGAAAGATTGGCTCTCACTTTGGAATTTTGCCTTGCTTTAGCTTATTACTCAACTAGTCCTTCAAGTTAAAACTTATCTTGGAGATTCTTCTTAATACCTTTCCTATACCTACTAATTCAAAAAAAAAAAAAAAAAAAAAAGGTTAATGCTTTATCAGTTCTTCATTTTAAACAAATCGTTTAGGATTTTTGTATTAAAAAAATGATAATTAAGAGGTTAATGCTTTAAGTTCCTTTTACTTTTTCTTTATTTTGTTTTAACCTCATTTCTCAATGTTTAGTTTTTGTATTTATTATATTTTTCATTAATATTTTGACCTAAGGACATTAAATCTTATCATTAGGTTTATAGGATTAACATGTCCAATAATTTTATTTTATTTTATGAAATAGAAATAAAATAAATTTTGGCAAAAAAAAAAAAAATGGCAAAGAAAAAAGTTAGAAAAAAAATGGCTATTAGTTTTTTTTAGGACAATGGTAAACAAAATCAACGAACTAAATTATAGGTTTTAAACCATAGGGGACTAAGTTATAATTGTGTTTAAAAACTAAGGATTAAATGAATAATTTACTCTTCCAAGAGTCAAACTTTGCACAAAGACAGCTGACAAACAAAAAGATTCCTTTAGCAGTAATTTAGTCTGTTAGAGTAAGCTTCTCATCCTTTACGCCAACTCAGATGGATTCATTCTCGGCCTCATGTTCAAGATATGAAAATTTCACATTTCTATGTTCTCCCCTTGTCTACACTGAGAACTTGAAATATTCACAGCCTATATTAGACTTGCCCTTTCCTCTTTCTTGCTCTCTAGCTTGGTCACCAAAACAAGCAGCCATGGAAGTTGTAAGAACTTCCTCTGTTTCATCCATTCATATCCCAACTTCAATAAGCAAAACCCAAATCACCAAACCCAAGTTCTTGAATTTTCAGTTTAATCCAATACCCAGTTCGTCTTTCTCAAGAATTCATGGAAAAACACCATCAAAATCCAAGCTTTTTACCGCCATATCACCATCACCATCCTCTGTCTCAACAGAGTCCATAGGCCCACCTGAGCCAGAGGTTGAGGTTGACACTAAAGGAGAGAAGTTTGATTGGTATGCACAGTGGTACCCACTCATGCCAGTTTGTGATTTGGACAAAAGGGTGCCACATGCAAAGAAAGTGTTGGGTCTTGATGTTGTGGTATGGTGGGATAGGAGTGAGAGTACATGGAAAGTTTTTAATGATGCTTGTCCTCATAGGTTGGCTCCACTGTCTGAAGGAAGAATTGATCAATGGGGAAGGTTGCAGTGTGTGTATCATGGTTGGTGCTTCAATGGCTCCGGTGACTGCAAGTTCATCCCTCAAGCACCACCAGATGGTCCTCCAGTAATACTTACTCCTTTTCTTATTGTTTTGATGCTTATATATCTCTTCTATCGCTACTTGATAGATGTGTGCATTGCTTTAGAAACCATTTTTCTTTTATAAATTCATGGCATAAGGCATGTTATGTTTGAAGCAATTTCTAATCGAGAGGATCAAGTCAGTTGCTGGGTTATTTAAGCTACACAGTTGAAGTATTTTGCTTGGTATAAGACCATAATCTGCATAAAACAATGCTGCATTGATGAATATTGGATTGTAGCAGGAAAATTCTGATGGAATACATGTTAGAATTGCTTGATTATTTGAGAGAACTTTAAGAAGATTATTTTAGGCAAAGATGTTGTTAACCCTATCGTTGATCGATTATGTTCAGTGAATTATTTCCATGTCAAATGGGATTTTAGTTAACCTTTCCATCAAATGATGCAGGTGAACACATTCAAGAAAGCATGTGTAGCTGCTTATCCAAGTACAGTGCATCATGACATTGTCTGGTTTTGGCCGAACACAGACCCACAATACAAAGATATTATTTTGAAAAAACAGCCTCCCTTCATCCCAGAATTGGATGATCCATCATATACCAGAACAATGGGAAATAGAGATATTCCATATGGGTATGCAAAGACGTAATCTGCATTTAATTTATATCTATTCATGGCTAGATATACTTTGGTCACATTTACTGTTTATGTAGTAAAGCAAGGCATAACCAATTGCAGAAAGAATTAGTTTTTGTATAATGATTGTTTTGTGAGATCAAAGTAACCTTATTTTAGCTTTTTGCTTCTCTAAACTACATTTTCGTTTTCAGGTATGATGTCTTGGTTGAAAACCTCATGGATCCTGCTCATGTTCCCTATGCACACTATGGAATCATGAGAACACAAAAACCGAAAGGTGTGTTAAGGCATTATGTTTCATTCTCTTTATCTCTTAAGTTCATGTGATTCAACCTAAAATTTCTCTGCAGTGAAGGTTGATAGAGAAGGGGGCAGACCTGTTCAATTGAGTGTCAAGAAACTAGACATAAATGGTTTCATTGGCGATCAGGAATGGGGTATTAGTAAATATATCGCACCGTGTATCTTTTATGCCTACACTAAACCTGTGGAGAATCAGGCTAATGGAACTGCATCGTCAGCTGGTACAGGAAAGGTAAGCATTTACTTGTTGCACAGTGTTCCGAGAACAACATGAGATGATTTCTTCAAAAATTAGGCTTGAATACTCAGTTATATTAGGCTTGTCTTTGATAATTTGACTTTCCTTCTTATACAGTTATTTCTCTAGTTCTTATCATCCTTTTGTTTTCATGAATTTGTGGTGCTCAGCCTTCTGCGCAACGGAAAATGGCCTTAATTTTTATTTGCATTCCAGTTAGTCCAGGCAATAGCAGATTGATATGGGTCTTTCCAAGAAACTTTGGAGTCTGGATTGATAAAGTTGTTCCAAGATGGATTTTTCATGTGGGACAAAACCTAATACTGGATTCAGATCTGTATCTTCTTCATTTGGAGGTGATTTTCTGTTTATGAAAACATAGTTTTCTTTTGCATCTAATGAACTGATTGATTATAAACTTAATTTATCATATTTTATCCTTCACTTTAATGGAATCGTAATTCGATAGACCAGAAACCGTTAGTAACATTTTATGCTGTGAGAAGTTTTCATTCATCCTGGTTCAATGAACATTTTCCTTTCTGCTTGTACCAAGTATTCGAGTCTTTATTTTAGTGAACTCTCTAGAACAAGAAATTGGAGCCTGCATCCAGCTCGCTTTGACTGACTACAATTATCTTTGCAGGAGCGCAAGATCATGGATGTTGGCCCTGCCAATTGGCAAAAGGCTTGTTTTGTGCCAACGAAATCGGATGCCCTTGTGGTTGGTTTCAGAAGATGGTTAAACAAGTATGCTGGTGGTGAAGTTGATTGGAAAGGCAAATACAGTGGGGCTCTTCCCCCAACTCCTCCCAGAGAACAGCTGATGGACAGGTAATGCCTGTTTCAACTACAAATGGAGATTCACCATTTCGGTTTGGGAAACTTATTTCTCTGCTAAATTTGGAACTGATTTTTCAGGTACTGGTCCCATGTGGTAAACTGCCGCAGTTGCAACGCTGCACACAAGGGTCTCAATGCTCTAGAGGTTGTTCTGCAGGTCGCTTCACTAGCTTTCATTGGGATTGTTGCTGCAGCCAAGCAGAATGCCGTGTCAGTAGCTGCAAGAAATACAATGATAGCAATGGCAATAGTATGCTTTGCAGGTTCAAAATTGTTGGCTCACTTCATCTACAAAAACTTCCATTACCACGGCTACAATCATGCTTTTCGCTGAGGCGGATACTTATACTGTTTAGTGCAAAATTTTACTGTCAGAGAATATCGTAAATAGAGTTGTTCTTGTGGATGTACAGCCATTATAAACTCGGATGATGCCTGAGGATAATTTGATGATCAATAAGTTCGAAAATGATTCTGTTTTAAGAGGTTAAATGCAGGACATTTTTTGTTTTTGTGTTCAAAAATTTAAAAATGATAAAAAAAACCAGTAATGCAGGCCTGTGATTTGGACAAGATGGTGTCACATGCAAAAAAAGTGGTGGAACTTGATTTGGTGGTGTGGTGTGATGGGAATGAGAGTCAATGGTTTTGATGATTCTTGTCCTCGTAGATTGGCATCATTGCCTGAAGGGAGAATTGATCAATGGGGAAGCTTGCAGTGTGCTTACCATGGTTCCATGGTTGGTGCTTCAATGACTGGTAACTGTAAGTTCATCCCTCAAGCAGCGTCAGATGGTCCTCCGGCGAAGGAGTCCAAAATGTTGGCTACTATCGAACAAAATCATAATTTAATAGTATTAGAAACAAAGATACATCAATAGATAACAAAATAATTGACAGAAGTTGGATGAAAAATACTTGATGTATAGTTTTAAAAAAATCAATATACTCAAATGAAAAGAAATTAAGATTTATATATTTAACTAGAAAAATGTCAAAAAATTGGTTATTCACGCACAAAATATATTGCATTTTTCATGTTAAAAAACATGTGGATAATTGGTGCATAGAATATTACAATTGACCCGTAATATAAGATTTTAATGAATCGCAAGTGGCTCCATAGAATATTACGGATGATTATATGTATAATTGTCAACAAAAACACCACCAGAGTTTAAGCAAATCAAATCATTTGAAATCGTTGGAAAAATCATTTTCATTTCCTCCCTGAAACAGGCCCCCATCCAATGCCTGGCCTTAATTTCTTATTATTTTTTTCTTATAAAAATCCATCTCTACAGACCTTAATTATAAAGAATAATTGTGTCACCCAAGTGTTAATGAGACAAAAAAAAAAAAAAAAAAAACAGGGTCAACACATTCAAGGAAAATAAAAATGTTTAAAGATTTTGGATATATTCCTTCTCCACATATCTGATAAAACCACAAGAATATAGTTATAAAAATCACTTGCATTTGGATGTGGAATATTTCCTAATTAAATCTGAGATACGTTTATGATTCAATTTACACAGAAAAGTCATATTTATTTGTGTTTCTATTATAAAAAAAAAAAAAGAAAAGAAAAGAAGAGGAAGAAGGTATACTACATTGTCATTTATCTGTCTCTATATCTGTCAGTTTACCACATGGGACCGGTACCTGAAAAGTGAATTGTAAAACTTAGCAGACAATTAAAAAGGTTGCTCAAACTGAAATCTAGGATTCTCATCTGTAATTGTAAGTTACAGTCATTACCTGTCGAACAACTTGTCTCTTGGAGAAGTTGGAGGAGCCAATCAACTTGACCACCAGCATACTTGTCGAACCATCTTCTGTAAGCAACCAGAAGGGCATCAGATTTTGTTGGCACAAAACAAGCCTTGTGTCAGTTGGCAGGTCCAACATCCATGAACTTGCGCTCCTGTAAAAAAATTCTGGACTCAATTAATGCTGCCAGAGTTGCCGGCTTCCAATATGTTCTTCAAGCTAGGATAAATGGGAAAGATAATTATGTTTTCGTTAAAAGAAAAACCACCTGTATGTGAAGAAGATACAGATCTGAATCAAAAACAAGGTTTTTTTTCATATGAAAAATCCATCGCGGAACAACTTTATCAATCCCGAGTCCGAAGTTTCTTGGAAAGATCCATATCAAAGTTTCTTGCATAGAACCCTGCTTCACCAAAAAAAAAAAAAAATTGTGTGAAAGAAGACGCTGAGAACAGGAGAATGATCATTAACAACCATATGTAAATGCTTACCTTTTCTGGTTCATCCCCGGGACTACTAGAAGCATAAGAGATGCAGGGTGCAATAAAATTCGTAGCGCCGAAGTGATCTTGATTTTTGAAGAAACCACGACTGTCTAGCTTCTTGACATTCAAATCAACTGGGCAGCCCCCTTCCCAAACAGAATTCACTGCAGATAAATTTTAGTTTCAAATCATATGAACTTAATAATCATAAACAAAAGATTTCAACATAATGCCTTAGAATACCTTCTGATTTTAGTGATTTCACAAGTCCATAATGTGCATAGGGAAGATGAGCAGGATTCAACACATTTTCAATCAAGACGTCATATCCGAAAATGAAAATATTAATTCAGGCAACAAATGTTTCGGTAGATATAGCAAAGATTGAGAGAAATAAATGTAGATTATAGTTTGGAAATGAAAATGAAGGAAATTGGTGCAAATGACATCTTTGCATACCCGTAAGGAAAATCTCTATTTCCCATATACTCGGTAAATGATGGATCATCCAATTCTGGGATGGAAGGAGGTTGATTCTTGGTAATGATGTCTTTGCATTGCAGATCGTTGTTCGGCCAAAACCATACAATGTCATGATGAACTGTGCTTGGATAAACAGCTACACATGCTTTCTTGGATGTGTGGACCTGCAATATAATTTGATGGAAATGTGAACCAAACTCCCATTTTAGACCAAGTTCAATAGTAGCTAACATTTTGGACTCGTTACCGGAGGATCGTCTGATGGTGCTTGAGGGATGAATTTGCAGTTACCAGAGCCACTGAAGCTCCAACCATGGTACGAGCATTGCAGCCTTCCCCACTGATCAATCCTTCCTTCAGACAGTGGTGCCAACCTATGAGGACAAGAATCATTAAAGACCTTCCATTGACACTCATTCCTATCCCACCACACCACTAAGTCAAGTCCCATCACCTTCTTTGCATGTGGCACCCTCTTGTCCAAATCACAAACTGGCATTACTGGATACCAATGTGCATACCAGTCAAACTTCTCTACATGAGAGACTGCTTCAAGTTCTGCCTCAGGTGGTTCTGTGGACTCTGTTGAAACAGAGGATGTTGCCGGTGATGATATGGTTGAAAAAAAGCTTAAATTTTGATGGTGTTTTCTTGTGAATTCTTGAGAAAAATGAACTGGGTATTGCATTAACTTGGAAATTCAAGAACTTGGATTTGGTGAATTGGGTTTTGCTTATTGAAATTGGGAAGTGAATTGATGTAACAGAGGAAGTTCTTAGAACTTGCATGGCTGCTTGTTTTAGAGAAGAGCAGGGCATGCAAGAATTGTGAAATTCATCCTCTAGATATTGTTTGATTCAGTGAGAAAGAGATGTGAATATGTGTAAAGAACAATAGATTCAAGATTACTCCTCGTCAATTTGGAAAAGAATAATAAAAAAAGAAGTTAATTGTCTACATCTATACTATATTATATTACACTAACGTTGTATTAAGTGGTTGAATTGATTTGATTTTCGCCTTAGATGTATTATTTTTAATTTTTAAAGAATAAATTTCTCATATTTTTAATCCAAACCATCAACAGTCAAGTATCAAGTTTTATAGTGGATTTCTATTCATTTCATTTGTTAACTTGTAATATAACATGAACTAAGTTGGCATAAAACGGTGGGTTTTTTTTTTTTTTTTAAGAACCAAAACTAAACAGAAATTAAAAAAAAAAAAAAAGCAAAAAGTCAAACCAAATTTTTTTTTTAAAAAACCAAGATGCATGAATACATCCGCCACCACCGCTCAAACCTTAACCTCAAGGGGTTTACTTTGTAGATTCAGTTTGGATTAACATTAAGAAAATTTTATTAATTTTTTTTTGAATTTATCATATCGATGTGAGAATAAATTTTTCAAAAATGTGAAAAAAATAGTTTAAATTAACGTATAATCATGAAATAATTAATGTTTTTGGTCATATCATATTCCTACTAATCACATGATTCAATTTATAATTCAATATAAAAAATTAAAAGAATAATACAATTGATTCAATTATTTATTTATTTTTTAATGATTTATAGTCTTTTTCAATTCTTTTCTTTATCTTAAAACCTATAAATAAGTTTGATTGTTCATTAGTTTGAATAGAATAATTTTATAAAGATTGAGAGAATGCTTGAAATTGTTATTTCTTGTTTTCACTTTATTTCATAATTAAATTTATTTTGTTATCATCTTTCTTTCTAATTATATTATTGTTACAATTTCATATATATATATATATATATATATATGATTCTTTGCAAAATTTCCTCTTATGCCAAAAAAAAAAAAAAAAAGGTTTGGACCATGATGTATCATATTAATTCAAAAGTGAAACCAAAAATTAAAGTTTCAATTGTTCTTTTAAGATGTAGATTTTTATTGTTACTATATATCCTTAAAAGATTTTAATGAATGGCTAGTGGTGACCAATGAGCTTTTAGCTCATTAATTATGGATTCAAATCTCAGTTATGCTACAAATCTTAATTGCGTGAGTTAAAAAAAAAAAAAAAGCTAATGGTACGTGGGATATTAAATTTCTTGCTAGCTTCTCCTCCACCACCAAATTCATTCCTATAATAATAATAAAAAAAGTAAATAAAACAAAAACCCAATTTTTTTGGAGTTAAAATCAGTTATTGATGCAATTGATCATTTGAGTCAGTTTGCATCAGATGGTGGGTCTCAACTCTTTGTTCCTGCTGGAAAATGGTTACCAGCCACTTCACTTTCTAACTCCACAAGGATGCTGTGCTTCTTGCTTCTCAGGTTTGCATGGTTACACATAAAAAGGCTAGTGTTCCCCCCTCCTTTAAAAAACTGACGTTTTTATTGCAGGTAATTAATGAAAATTAAGAAGTGATGAGAAAGATTAAGAACAATTTTTATAAATTATAACAAAATCATATCTTATATTTACCTGCTGTTCAATCTTACTAAGATGGACAAATTCGAAATGTAGGGGACAATGGCACAATCGATGGTCAGGGAGCATTCTGGTGGTAGAAATTCCACAAATGCAAGCTAAAATACACCAGGCCTTGCTTAATTGAGATCGTGTTCTCAGATAATTCAAAGAATCTGTTAGATTTGGTTGTTCCCAACACAATACTGTGGGCGCGAGCTAGTTCTCTGATTTACAAAAGATTGTAAATGGAGAAATTAGAGATATATTTTTTCATGGGAAATTTACTGTCTTGAAACAATTAGACGAGCTTGATACAGTTGTCAACAATTTGCATCCCATGATCCAAGATGGTATGGGACCTGTTGAAGTGGAAGCATTCAGGAGTTCTTAGCAGAAAAACGTTTTCAATGGCTACATTTTCTTGCTAAGGAAGTAAATGGCTTTTTCAAAATAGTTTTAAGTGGGCGTGATGCTTTGCTTCGTAACCTGAGTCAGATTATCAAGATGGTATGGGACCTGTTGAAGTGGAAGCATTCAGGAGTTCTTAGCAGAAAAACGTTTTCAATGGCTACATTTTCTTGCTAAGGAAGTAGATGGCTTTTTCAAAATAGTTTTAAGTGGGCGTGATGCTTTTCTTCGTAACCTGAGTCAGATTATCCATAGGAGGTTTCTGCAAGAAGCAGCCGGATAATCTGGGAATGCTTTGCAAGGCAGCTTCTCTTACTTCCAGTGATTTGTTGATCGGTGTTCATCTCTTTCCTTGATGTAGAATCCCTAAAGCCATTTGATGCTTGGAGCACAGTATTTGGTTACATTTCTTAATGTTCATTAATATGGAAAAAAGAAGGAAAAAAAAAGGTGGCAGACATGGTGGAGAGAGAGTATGAAGAGGAAGAAAAACAATTAAAAAAAGGATACCTCCTTCGTCGTATTTGTTATGGGATTTGACAGCCTCGATCTTTCTGTACAGGTTGGGTGGACGACACCGCCTGCAAGAGAAGAAAGAGGAGGACGAAAGCTACTGGCCGGACCAACTCACTCGCTAGACGGTGACCAGAGCAGTAACAAGCGTTATTCAGCAGTGGCAGTACGTAGAGGTAGTTTCATAATTCTTCAACCATTTCAAGTATGGAAATTACTTATGATATTTATACCATCTAATGATCCTATGCCACGTCTCTCTTCTTCTTCAATGTAGGAACTTTCAAAGATTCTACACATTGTGACCATCTTGCTGCAAATTGGAAGGATTGTCATTGACAATTGAAATGGAATTGATGTCTTAGCAACATTCTTACAAGTTAAAAAAAATGAACAACAACACAGAAGCATGATTCAAAAGGGCTTGTCTTCCATTTTTGTTGACATGTGAAAAGAATCGAATATTAACAATTATATATTACTATTGACAGTGAAGTAACTATTTTTGAAATTTGTAATATATTATTTTCAGGCATTGTGTTTTCTGTGGTTGGTGTTTCAATGGCTCTAGTGATTCCTATTGAACAAAGCTGAAGTCTGATTCAGATATCTGTTGACATAAAAAATCCATCAGGAAATGACGATAGCTTATGATTTGGCAGATAGGGCTCTCGTTTTATCTTCCTCTGCTTTTTCTATATCATTCTATGTAAACATAAGATAAATTCGGATCGGATTAGTTTTTATATCAATCGAGATTAATTTTTTTTATGGACAATCTGAGGATGAACTCCTGTATCAGCTAAGTACATTAACAGAAATTTAATTACTGGTTTCTAATGTTGATATAAAAAAGAAAAAAAAAACACATCAGAAAACCATTATAGGTCAGCTAATATGTATTTGAACTATAAATGAAATAATCTGTACTCATTTTTTTTTATAAATAAATAACCCATCACCATCGGCGAATCCGTAAAGTCCAGAACGTGGAGAACTCATAAACTTTTTGGTATTAGGCATTTAGGCTACTAACTTATGAGCAATACGTGTTGCCTTCATGACATGGAAAGCATTCGACAAATTAGGAAATTAATTATGAAGAAGAAGAAAGAAAAGGAAACAATTGGCTTGTTGTTGCATTGTCCAAAACTTGGAGAACCCATAAATAAAGAACAAAGATGCCTACACGGAGAGATAAGGCAGAAGGCAGTAAAGTACAAAAGACAGCAAGGTAAAGTTTGGCTATCCATGGCACGGAGTGGGTTGATGGATCTAATCGAGCCGTTTTTAGCCTAGGACAATCAACTGGCCATGCTGGTCCATTTTGAAGCTTTCTTAACGTGTTTTCACTCTTTCATACAAGTGGCTGATGTATCTAATCCAGCCGTTTTTAGCCTAGGAAAGTCATTTTTTTATTTTTAATTTTTTTGCCTAAATATGGAAAGGGGGAGGGAGGAGGGAGAGAAATTTTGATGTCGTGTAATGAATATGGAATTTTTTTTTATGCTTTTATTTTATTATTATTTATTATTGACTCAAAATAAATTTTCTTTCCATAATTAAGGGTTTTTTTTTTCATTAAATAAAACAAAAAATTCTTTTAATATAAATTGATTATGCACCTTCTTCTAATTTGATTTTTTTTTAAAAAAAATTAATTGCATTTTTTTCTTTACCAAACTTAAAAATGTTTTTAGGATTATTTAAACTCAATTATAGAATATATAAATATATTTTATTAAATTAATATTGTATAATACACATTAAATTAAATAAATATTCACAATTAGTGTTACTTAATTTTTATTTTATGCTTATATTTTTAAATTATTTAAAATATTAAAATATATTATATAATAGATTTATGTGGAGCGACGATACTAGGCTAGTTTTTTACTATTAAGAAAAAAACTAAGAATTAAGTTTGAAAAGACATATAATTATTCGGCTAAATGGATGAAAGTTAATAACTTATTAAATTCCTATAAATGTATCAAATTAATATGAAAGATGCCATTTCAAAATTGCTCAAGAAAATATTTAATTTTAATTAACCCGTAAGTTGTTCTGAAAATACTATTATCATAAAGTCAGGAAAAGGAATAAATAAATAAAAGCAAAACGGGATTCGACTTGCTGCATGCAATTGTTTCTTTGTTCAGTTTAGGATAAAATTCCAAACAATCATTGTCCTTAATTACCACCTTTTCTTCTCTGTGTCTCATTCAAGAAATTTAGAGCATAAAATTCAAGAGTGGGCCATTTCACAATTTCAGACTCTGCTCTGCTCTCCTTCCACTTTGAACATTTCACTCTTCAAGTTCTCTAGCTTCAGCTCTAAAAGAAGTAGCCATGGAAGTTCTAACTTCCTCAGTTACATCAATTCACATCCCAAATTCAGTAAGAAGAACCCAATTTAACAAACGCAAGTTTTTTAGCTTTCAGTTTAATCCAACACTAAGTTCATCTCTCTCAAAAATTCACGAGAAAACACCTTCAAAATCCAAGCTTTTCGCAACCGCATCATCATCACCATCATCTGTTTCAACAGAGTCCACAGAACCAGCTAAGCCAGAAAATGAAGGAGAGAAGTTTGACTGGTATGCACAGTGGTATCCAGTAATGCCAGTTTGTGATTTGGACAAGAGGGTGCCACATGCAAAGAAGGTGATGGGACTTGACTTAGTGGTGTGGTGGGATAGGAATGAGAGTCAATGGAAGGTCTTTGATGATTCTTGTCCTCATAGGTTGGCACCAATGTCTGAAGGAAGGATTGATCAGTGGGGAAGGCTGCAGTGTGTATACCATGGTTGGTGCTTCAATGGTTCTGGTCACTGCAAATTCATCCCTCAAGTACCACCAGATGGTCCTCAGGTAATAGTCCAAAATGTTAGCTGCTATTGAACTTAGGTTAAAATTTTCCATGATGCCTGTGTTTTCTTATTTCCCTCTTGCTGTATTTATCGCATATGCTAACCAAATTATTAAATTTCCTTGTCAAATGGGAGTTTGATTCACCGTTCCATCAAATAATATTGTAGGTCTACACATCCAAGAAAGCTTGTGTAGCAGTTTATCCAAGTACAGTGCATCATGACCTTGTGTGGTTTTGGCCAAACACTGATCCACAATACAAAGATATTATTTTGAAGAAACAACCTCCCTTCATCCCGGAATTGGATGATCCATCATTTATCAAGTATACCGGCTGTAGAGATGTTCCTTATGGGTATGCAAATGAGAGTAATTTTTACTTGAATTGTTGACATGAACTTGTTACTTCTCTCTTCTATATATTGTAAGATAAAAAGTTGATGATTTTTCTTTACTTCTCTAAACTGCTTCAGATATGAAATCTTGATTGAAAACCTAATGGATCCTGCTCATGTTCCCTATGCACATTACGGAATCATGAAAACACGACCACCAAAAGGTATGTTAAGGCATTGTGTTTCACTCTCTTTGTTTATAGAGTTCATATGATTCAAATTAAAATTTTTTCTGCAGTGAAGGCAGATAGGGAAGGGGGCAGCCCAGTTGAATTGACTGTCAAGAAACTAGACATAGATGGTTTCGTTGGAAATCAATATCAGTTTGGTATTAATAAATTTATCGCTCCCTGCATCTCTTATGCTGACAGTAGTCCTGTGGTTGACCAAGGTGATGATCATGCAGTTGCTGGAACTGAAAAGGTAAGCAATCTGTGACTTTGTCTGCATAATAACTGACAACAGCCTACTAAACAGTTTACCAGCTAGATTACCATTATTTCTTTGATTCAAAGACACTGCCTGTTCTAGAATCATAATTCAGTTTTATCTTAGGCTTTATGTTGATCATTTTACTACTGTACTTATGTGGTTCTCCTGTTCTTGTCATGTTTCTTCATGAAAAATATCTTGGTGCAGCAACCTTCCATGCAACAGAGAGCGGCCTTAATTTTCTTTTGTATTCCAGTCAGTCCAGGGAATAGCAGATTGATATGGGTCATCCCAAAAAACTTTGGAGTTTGGATTGCCAAAGTTGTTCCACGATTTATTCTTCATTTGGGAACAAACATAGTTCTGGATTCAGATCTGTATCTCCTTCATTTGGAGGTGATTTTTCTTCTTATGTATCTAGCGAGCTGATTTATTTAAGTTTCGATTATAATAATGTGAACTAGACTAAGCTTAGTGTAGATCTTTTCATTATTTGTGTCATTAACAAATAAATTGGTGTCAATTTCTTCTGTTTATGCACAAACTTTTGCTTCAGTATTTCACCGTGGAACTAGAGATTGTATTTGGAGGGTTAATTGAGTATCCATCCAGGATCAACTGAAATCTAAATTCCAATCGTTCTACGGAATTTTATTTGATAGAAAAAGAAACTGTTAGGGAAGTTTTTCTAGCTTAACAAACATTTTTCTTTCAGTTCACGCCAAAGGTTTTGAGTCAGCTTCATTTTGTGAACTCCTCCAAAACAAGAAAATTGCAGCCTGAACTTTGCAAGCTTTAACTGACTCCAGAATTCTCTTCTCAGGAGCGCAAGATCATGGATATCGGCCCTGCCAACCGGCCACAGGCTTGTTTTGTGCCAACAAAAGCAGATGCCTTTGTGGTTGGTTTCAGAAGATGGTTAAACAAGTATGCTGGTGGTCAGGTTGATTGGAGGGGCAAGTACAGCGGGGCTCTTCCCCCAACTCCTCCTAGAGAACAGCTGTTGGACAGGTAATGACTGTTACGTACAACTACAGATGAGTGTTCAAGACTGCAGTTTGAGAAATTTTCTTAGTTCTTTCCTAAATTTGGGAACTGCTTTCTCAGGTATTGGTCGCATGTCGTAAACTGTCGCAGTTGCAATGCTGCATACAAGGGTCTAAATGCACTAGAGGCCACTTTGCAGGTTGCTTCACTAGCTTTCATTGGGATTGCTGCTGCAACCAAGCAGAATGCCAATACATTGGTAGCCATGGCAGTAGTATGCTTTGCTGGTTCACGATGGTTGGCTCACTTCATCTACAAGAACTTCCACTACCATGACTATAATCATGCTTTACGCTGAGCTGTGTGTTGAAAAAATGGCTTAAAGGGATCATCACTAAATGCATGACCTTAATAAACTTAAGCACAATGTATGGTTTTCTTGTGAAGTTCTTCTCAAGTTATTTTCTAGACAGCTTTCTTTGAAATTTGTATTATATTATTAATGACAGTGAAGAAACTTTATCATAGTACTGATAAACAAACTCTAGCGCTTTCAATGGCGGAGCCAGCCATTGTGTTTTGTGTGGTTGGTGTTCTAGCGATTGCTAGAGGATAGTTTGTGGTAGGGCTCCTCTTTGTTGAGTACGCAGACTCTCTTCAACCCAGACCTCAAGAGAATCCAGAGAAAGCTCCATATCAAAAGAAGCTTGAGGCTAATGCCTGTAGCTGTCAGAGTTTCACTCTTCTCTTGATCAGCAGAAATTGGAATTACTTCACTAGATGGAACGAAGATAAATCATCTTAATTTGTATAGACTGAAACAGTAATACGAGCTGTAACGACATGTGCATGTGAAGAAATCACTGCATTATCAACACTTTAAACCTAAAATATTCTCAGCCTTCAGTCCGTTTCTTTATTCTCAATCTCTTAGCTTGATAAAAGCAACCATGGAAGTTGTCAAGAAGAGAATGGCAATTAATAAAATGTTTCAGAAGAAAAGATCTAAATAGAAAAATAAGAATTTTTTTGGTACTTAAGAAGAGAGAAAGAAAATAGAAAAAAAAAAAAGAAGACATTTTAAAGAAAAAATTTATTGTAAAGACACATCATCGTTATTTTAACATCTCTATTCTAAAAAAACCTGACTAAAGATTAAGTCATTAACAAAATTAAAGCGTAAATGTCTAAATTAATAAAATGAGAAACACTAATTAATTCGAATCTTTTTGAAATGAGAAGGATTAATTTATAATTTACTCTAAAAGTTTGGATCCAATGAAATGAGAATCCTTAAAAATCTGGGCCATTGTGGAAAAATAAGAAACCTAAAAATATAAAAGCAAAATACATAGAAAAAGGAGGGCCACAAAAACAAAAAAAAAATGGCGAACCCATCACTATCATCTAATCCATAAAATGCTAATCAACGAATTAATAAAATCCCACGTGGCAAAACCCATCAATAATTAGTTGACTTTCAGATCCTCCTCCATGCATATGTTTTTGTGCACTTCAATCATTGTACTTTTGATATAAAATAATAAACAAATGCAGAAAAAAATTTAATAATAAAATGGTCCCGGGGATCCATCGTTATATCCACAATAATCACCTACGCTATTATTATTTATAATAGAAAGTAGTATTTACTTATTCATACAACAGATCATATGATGGGTCGTAAATTAAGAAAATTTATACTTATTCTCAATTTTCATGGACATTAAAAACATAATAAACCAGCTATTAATTTCTTAATTAGATGATCATGTCAACATGATAATTTAAGGTGGATATTGATTAAATACATAATACTGAGTCCAATGTGTTACAACTCCAATAGTTAAGGAGTAAAAGTGCAATTAAACCGATATTTTGGATGGGACAAAATGCTAAACTGTTAGGGAAAACCTCAATTTAATCCCACATTTATATACCCATCCTTTATTGCATCCCAAATTTATAGATTTTATCAATTATGTCCCGTTGCATTATTCAATTGTATTCTTTTGTTAATTTTTTTTTAATATTTTAACTGTAATTTTCATAATTTATGCACTTAAATGATGTCATTTTGTTTTTTAAAAAACCAATGAAGCAGTTAATAAACATTAATTTTTTTGGTCTAGTTTGTATATTTATGTACTAAATTGAGTTCGAGGGAGGTCAAGCTTGAAATAAAAAGTTTAAAAACTGATTTTCAAATAAATTAAAACTTAGGAAAAATTTGATCCATTAACCAAAAAAATTCACCAAACTCAATTTCTTGAATGTTCAGTTTCATCCAACACCGGATTCGCATTTCTTAGAAATTTCCAAGAAAACACGCATCACCAAAATCCAAGCTTTTATATTTATGATTTGGTAGACAGGATCCTCATTCTATCTTCCTCTGTTTTGTATTTTTCTTGGATGGGTTTACATGTGTTTTTGTCTCATTCTATGTTAACAATTTCACATGATGATTTAAAGCTTTCATTGGGATTGCAGCTGCAACCAAGCAGAATGCCAATACTATCGTAGCAATGGCAGTAGTATGCTTTGCTGGTTCACGATGGTTGTCTCAGTTCATCTACAAGAACTTCCATTACCATGACTATAATCATGCTTTTCGCTGAGGTGTGTTGACATTGGATTGGCGAATGCATGATTTTTGAAGTCTCAGCAGAATTGTCGTTCTCTCATGTGCTGCAGTATAGAAAGAATAAACTTCAGCTCAGCGGTAGAGTTTTCTGGAGAATGGGGTTTGGGGTTGTGCATCAAGTTCGGATACGAATGTTGAGTATTGACATAATATACGGTTGTTGGATTTGCATTTAAGATATGCAGGGGACAGTTTGTGTTTTTGCAGAAGTGTTTTTGGGTTGAAAAAACACGAAATTAATGTTTTTTTCAAATGCTTTTTGATCTTTTCAACATCAGTATCTTAAAATCATCTAAATACATTCGAATTCATTGGAACTTTGTGATAAACTTTGTCAAAAAAAAAAAAAAACCAGTAATGAATTACAAAGGGTTTATGTCGGACAACTATTTTATTTATATTTTTTATATTTGGAGTGGATTTGTGACATATATTTCCATTGCAAAAAAATGAAGGTAGGCTTAAGCCCAGAAGAACACTTAACCCTAGGCTAAAAACCCACAGAATCTAAACATCCATCAGACCCATTAGGAGACAGAACATACAAATTAAAAGCAAAGAGCATTCAAGAAACAATAAAAAGGTTTAAAGATTTTGGATGTAGATTATATGACATGATAAGATGATATATTTCGTTAATTTCCATTTCTTATATATGCGCAGCGGCAAGGATTAAGACGGGAAAAGGACATCCTGATAGTATATGCCATATTTAGGAGGAGCTTTGTCTCTTCTCAAATAACGTAAATGTCCCATTTGTTTGGGATACCAGGGATGGATTGCTGCTGCTTGCTATTGATCAAGCTTACCTTTATAGAGCATAACCAGGTTCAAATTACTAATTATAGGAAGGAAATTATCATTCTTCGATTATGGTTCTTCATGATAGCATCATAGCATTCCCAAATGAAGGTTAATATTATTTAAGTCTTAATGATGGTCCAAACTTTTGTGGCCTTTGTTGGGATGATGGAATCCAAAGCAGAAATCTATTTTTGGACGTTGGATTCTTAACTAAAATCATGATACGTTTATGATTTGGTAGATAGAGGTCTCATTCTATCTTCCTTTGTTTTATATATATATATATATTTGAAGGTAAGAAATATTTTCAAACTGATTTGCACTTTTCAACCGAGTGCATTAAAAGAAATATTTAATGAACCTTTCATAGATAGTTAATCCATCTTTATCAAAGAAATTATAAAATCCAGTGTGACGAATGATTTGTTCACATTCAAATACTCACCGTAAAAAATGCTAAGATAGAACTCTTCCAACTAACTTCTGCATGCAATTATTTAGGTTTGTCGAGGAAGCTTCAGAAACCGCAAAACAATCAGGCTAAGATAGACTTATTTTGATTTCCAACCAATCATTTGCGTCTGTCCAGATATTATTTTTCTTTGAAATGTGTAATATATTATTTTCAGCGATGTGTTTTCTGGTTGAAATAACAAAAATGCCATAATATAGTAAAAGAAATAGTGCAATTGAGTTGCAAATCAGTTTCCAGGAATGTGCATAAACAGTGCGATGAATAAGAATTTGCACAGTAACCAACTGTTTTCCTGGAGTGTTTTTTGTTAATGCTCCACGTGTTTACCTACTCACCTCTCTCTCCATCTCTCTCTCTCTCTCAAGCAGAAAGTTTAGAGCATCAAACTTAAGATTAGACCATTTCACAATTTCATACTCTGCTCTGCTTGCACTTTGAACATTTCACTCTTCAAGTTCGCTAACTTCAGCTCTGAAGGACGTAGCCATGGATGTTCTGAGAACTTCCTCAGCTACATCAATTCACATCCCAAATTCAGTAAGAAAAGCCCAATTTACCAAACTCAAGTTGTTCAGTTTTCAGTTAAATCCAACGCCGAGTTCATCTTCCTCTAGAATTCACAAGAAAACACCTTCAAAATCCAAGCTTTTCACAACCGTATCGTCATCAACACCCTCTGTTTCAACAGAGTCCACAGAACCAGCTGAGCCAGAAAATGAAGGAGAGAAGTTCCACTGGTATGCACAGTGGTATCCAGTAATGCCAGTTTGTGATTTGGACAAGAGGGTACCACATGCAAAAAGGGTGATGGGTCTTGATATTGTGGTGTGGTGGGATAGGAATGAGGATACATGGAAGGTCTTTGATGATTCTTGTCCTCACAGGTTAGCTCCATTATCTGAAGGAAGAATTGATCAATGGGGAAGGCTGCAGTGTGTATACCATGGTTGGTGCTTCAATGGTTCTGGTGACTGCAAATTCATCCCTCAATTACCACCAGATGGTCCTCAGGTAATAGTCTAAATGTTAGCTGCTATAGAACTTAGGTTAAACTTTTCCATGATGCCTGTGTTTTCTTATTTTCCTCTTGCTGTATTCATTACATATGCTAACCAAGTTATTGTGATTCCTTGTCAAATGGGTGTTTGATTCACCTTACCATCAAATAATATTGGAGGTCTACACATCCAAGAAAGCTCGTGTAGCAGTTTATCCAAGTACAGTGCATCATGACCTTGTGTGGTTTTGGCCAAACACTGATCCACAGTACAAAGATATTATTTTGAAGAAACAGCCTCCTTCCATCCCAGAATTTGATGATCCATCACTTATCAAAATAATGGGTTCTAGAGATATTCCTTATGGGTATGGAAATATGTCATCTGCACTCAAGTTTAAACTACAATCTCCATTTTTTTATGTTCTTGGAAAT